AAATCCAGATACAAACAGACATTATTTGCACGTACGTATGTATTTATGTATGGTATGTATTTAAATACTATACGTGCCTCTCATAAAGACTGATATAATATATAATACTTTCGAAAGCATTCTCAAAGTGAGATAACACGTTCACATATGCATAGACAGGTATGTAAAACTAAATTACACGTTGAAATTTAATTCACAACTTATGCATTACGTTACAAGGGTTTAGCCGAAAGTTCCTAAAACCTCTTTAGTTTTACGATTTGAAAAACAAAAAAAAAATGAGAAAAAAAGAAAAAATAAAGGAACGAATATATTAGCCTAAAAAAGAAAAAAAGAAAAGAAAAAGAAAGAAAAATAAAGTCCGGAAGAAAGAGTAAACCGATTGTTATATTCGCTTAGGGAACTTTTACTTCTAAACTTATACAATAATGCATTTCATTTAATTCGAGCTAAACCATCGATCAAGTATTTATTATTAATAAGACGGAATAGGAGAAAAAGAAAAAGAAGGAGAAAAAAATTTTGTTTTTTCGTATCCGAAAATCGATACCGAGAATACTTTCGAGATCATATCTAAATGATTTTAGATTAAAATATTTTAGACATTAATTGTATCCAGATAGATTATGAGACGTTATCGCGATCTCAAATCCCTCCCGTCCCCCTTCCCCGTCCCCATCCCCATCCCCATCCTCATCCCATCCCGTCCCGTCCCTCTCCTTGGATCTTATAAAACATCTCGTCAATACCTTCGACTACCGCTTGGGGAGTAAGTGTCTTGCCATAATTCTTGTCAAACTTCTTAAGCTCGCCACCCGAGAGACAATACACTTGAAAACCGGTAATGCAAAAGCCATAAGCTTCCTTCGATTGGGCGTATTTCTTTTCCTCGCTTATCCTCTTTTCTTCGCTGGCCAATGGATCCCACGTACGTTTGCCGATTTTTACATCCATCACGCATGGTTCGGCCATGCCCTCTGTTATATCTTGAAGCACGACGAATTTTACATCTGATGGAGGAACAAAAAAAAAAAAAAATGAAAAAAAGAAAGAAAGAAATGAAGGAAAATTGGCAAGAGAAAATGGAACGACGATAAATTTATTATATAACATGTATGTATATATATAATGTGTATGTATGTATCTATGTATGTATATATATATATATGTACTCTATTTTCAAAGATATGATATATACATGTATAGGTAAGTATATGTTATATTTGTATTATTCAAAAGATATATACATATATATATTATTATTATTATTATTATTATTATTATTATTATTATTATTATTATTATTATTATTATTATTATATATTAATATAATACATATACAATACATTAATATAATATATACATATATATATACATATATATATATATATATATAAAATCTTTGCAACGATAAATACAAATATATTATACAGATATAGATCAGTATGTATATTATATATATATATATATATATATATATATATATATATATATATATATTATATAATAAAAGGTTAATTATGATAACATGACGATATAAATTGATTTTTATTTAAATATGATTGTTTATTTAATAACTGATGATACCTATCCGTTTCTTCATACGACTATTTTATGTATTTGATTGTGTGTGTGTGTGTACACTCATTATTTATAATATAATAAAATATATATATACGTATATATATATATTTTATCATATAAATATATTCATTTATTTATTCATTTTTATATCGGTTTTGATTTTTTTTTGTATTCTAATTTTTATTAAATAATAAAAATAAAAAAAAATATAAAAAAATAGGAAAAAATAGAGAAATAAATAATTTTAATCTATCATTACGTACTTTTGTCTGAGTATAATATCTCGGTCGTACCGAAATATTTTGGCACATAATTTTTCAATTCCAAGATAGTCTCGTCGCAAGAATTTTGCAAGTTCTCATAGAACGATATTTCTCTCTCACCGAGATGAGGCTTCGTGATGGGCTTTAACACCCGTCCTAATGGTGCTCTCAACATACCTGCAAAAATGTTTAGATAGTTTTATGACGAGAGACGACGATTACATAAAGTTCCAATTGAAAAACAAGTGTGTTAATTATGATAACGCGATGGTATAAATTGATTCTTATTTAAATGCGATTTAGATGCGATTCTTTTATTTAATAATTGAAAATAAATATCTATCCTTTCCTTCGTACGAATCATTTTCTTTACTTTATCTTTTTGTTTTTCTTTTTTTTTTTCTTTTTTCTTCTTTAATTTTCTTTTTTTCTTTTTTTTTACTTCATCGGTCGCTCGCTCGCTCGCTCGGTCAATCGTTCAAAAATTAAATTAACTAAAAAGAATAACTTAACGAATGAATAATAAAAGATAGCCGATTTATTTAAAATAAGAATAAAATAATTTATATCTTATATTATATAAAAGTAACAATTATTACCTTTCTTTCGACGAAACAAAAATCGACTAACTTTCGATAATAAAAATCAAACTA